AAACATTTACAACAAAAAGAAAAATAAAGACAGCAATGTGGCAATGAATCCTCCCAAAATTGAAAAATGAAAAAATCATAATTTTATGAATTGATGAAAAAATGAGACATCCCAGTCAAATCTAGTTGCCATTTAGGAAAACACAACATATTGTCATGGTGATTAAGTCTACTAACTTTCAAAAAACCAAACTGAGACAAGAGATAAGAGATCTCCTTAAAAGATCAACATTATGAAGACAACAAAAGGCAGTAATTGTTACAAATACAGTTGAAAGGATTACTCTTCAGGAAAATGTTATTTCATGTCATGATTATTCAATCTACAAAGCTTTTAAACTGAAAGACTGAAATAATGAAAAGGGCAGTAACTCTTCCAAATACAGTCAAAATGGTTGGCTGTTCAAATAAACACAATTTCACATCATGTGGAGAACCCTACGAAATCTGACAGAAATTGATAGAAAATAAGACAGGAAATCTCTGGACAAGATTATCATTATAAAAACAACAAGGGGTAGCAACTGTTCCAAATACAGTCAAATAAAGCTGCTGTTTAGGAAAACACAACTTTAGGTCAAAATGATTATTCCTACCAAGGTTGAAAAAGATCAGTTTTATGAGGAGATCTCCAGACAAATAATAATATGTACACCTGTGTATTATGAACACCTGTGTATTATGTACACCTGTATAAACTTAACTGTATATTGACCTGTAAGGTATATTTAAATGAGACTGATGTAGTCAGGTTTCTGTTTAGATATAAATACAAAAATTAAGTTTACTGTATCAGACAAATGACATGCTTACACATAAGAAATCTATATATTATACAAGCAACAAATACAGACACCCATATGCAAACTTGCTTTCATGCCAAATGCCCTGAAAAAACTCTAGCTCTGGGCAGTATACATTTCCTTTACAATTTAACCTCCTACCATTTTGAAATAAAGAATGTCTTTTGTACTACTTAACCGGGCCTGACAATCTCCCGCGTAAACCAGGTATACCATGTAAAAGGTGAGATGATTTACAAGGAGACAAGACAGATATCCAGGCATTTATACCCTTTTTCTCCTCTGCTTAAATGTCGGTACTCGGATTAATAGCCTGAGGCAACGACAGAGGCCGATCATGTGATTTATGTGACAATGTTGTGTCGTAAAACAAAAGGTGAGAAACTAATGGTGTGTATCTTCTAACGAGTGTGTACCACAGGTATGGAACTCAGGTACACACATCTCCTGTCTGTCTTACCTGGGTGAATATTCTATTTATGAAGATGTTCATTAAGGTACGGTAAATATTCTCAAACAACTAAAACTAAACTAGACTTATGAATATATACAATGTATTAAAACCACAAACATAATTTCAAACCAATTTTTCTTTTTTTCATAAATCTTCAATTTTTTTTCAAACACCTGACAGACAAACTCCATAAAATCTACACACTACTGGTCTTATCTCCTCCATACAAGATGCCTATTATACAAAAGTTACGTATCAGGACACCTGTGAACAAACATTTATTCTGGTTACAAATCAATAACAAATATGATTTTACCCCTGGAATACCTTGACACCAGAAGAAACAGAAATTTAAGAAATATCTGGAGTTATTTTACATGGTCTGAATTAAGTCTAATGAATTATTCCTGTACAGGATTGTTTACCGTACAGGTGGGAGATATATACATCCCATTAATTCACTTGTAGACTTACATCTATACCAGTCACCACCAACAATTAATATTTATCAAATATGTACATATCTATCTAGCCAGCCTGGATTCTATCAACAGGGAACTCTGTACCTATAAACCAGAATCAAATCTTCAGTTTGGTGTGGTCTTTCAAATACATTTTATATTTTGTTTAAGATCGTTCTTATCAGAGTACGACTAACAGACAGACATAATTACAGTAATTGAAAGGACTTTGATCAGCTTGTTTTGCAATTGATGCTAAAATAAACAAATAAATTTTAGAGACTGCAGGAACTGGAGAGAAGCAATTTAAATTTCAGGTAATTTAAAATTAAACAACAGACATACATATAAATACATATATACATGTGTATCTCAGTCTACAGTGTTTTTAGTCATCCATAGTTTTCACATAACCCATCCACCCATATTTATTTTATGTTTCTTTCACCGAGTGGTGTTTTGAAGCAGTATTTGCAAGTATATAAGATATTCAGAACATACCAGTACACTGACAAGTAGTGCAGGGTATTGATCTACCCTAAATTCTCTCCCAATGCTGTCACATACAGCTAGTTTTAAAAGTACATTATCTATTGAAATTTTTCCTCAGATCAGGGTATCCAATTTACATATTGAAAATGACTTTATTCTGTATTGGAAGGGGTATATGTCTGTTTAATGACTAAACTAAAGTCACTGATGTATGTTAGCTTCAGTTTGATCCTAACACATTTCAGGTTTTACTACTGGAATTTTTTAAGCAGGATTTCAGGCTGAATATTGCACCCCCCCCCATACCCAGTAGAATAACCTGTATATTTTTCCCCATTCAAGCATCAAAAGTCAAGAAGTAACATTGTTTCAGCAGAGAATGAATGGGTAAATGAGAGATATATCTATAAATTGTTTCGTCAATAGACCAGCCGAGACGGCCGTAAAAACGACAAAAGTCATAGAAAGTAACAAATATCAACACCTGTACTCGTGAGAGACTCTTGAGTAAGGCAAAAACCACATTAAAATGCAAAAGAATGAATATTTTGGTCAGAGTCGAGGAGGGACTACTGACCACAATGGCTAACAAGGCACACTATTATTGGCTTACGATGCACACCCATCTCTCATGAAATCCCGGATGTACCATCAAGGAGTGAATGACAGAATTGTTATTAAATTGAGTATGTATCATTTATCTTTATATTTTGGTACACTTTTTATTCAAAGGGACATATATAGTAAATAAGGAAGATTGATGTGAAGGAATATACCACACAAAAGATGTCTATAGATCCATGTGTTGTCTTTGAGGATTGGGAGACATGTACACTAGATAAAAGGTCTAGGGATTATACACTGGGTTAACAACAAGTGTCCACGTCACTGAATCTGATCTCCTCCTCAATCCTAGAATTTAGTGGTAAATATGATGCCCATGTAACTTTAGCTCATAGAAATCATGCAACAGTCAAAAGATGATGACAATACAGTAAAAATGTCATTTGCCTGGCAGTTTCTCTAAAGTTTAAACAAACTGTAGGAAAATGTTCAATTTGAATAACTTATCACCAAACCAGAAAATTTGAACAAAACTATAGATTTATGAGTAAGAATCAAGGCTTTTGAAGACGCAATCCTGTTTATTTTCCCGAGAATCAATGATTTTATTATAGTGACTGGATAACACTACTACGACTATTAAGGATGACAGGCATTCAGACTTTGTATAACAATTGTATTTCAATTTCATGAGACTCATGAAACCTGCTTAATTTCAAAACATAAAGAACTATAAAATGCTTCCCCCATTGCCAGGCAAAGTTAGTTTCAGCATTGAATCAGTTGATGGTTTTCTATATATAGCAAGGATGACCTTGGCCATGAACTTAAGCCCCTGAAACACAACAACGTCTCAAGTACATGTATAATTTGTTAATATTTCCTATATATAAAGCAGTACTGACCATGACCTTCACTTTGGACTCCTAAAACACAACAATGTCTAAAGTATACTTGATTTCAGAATAAAGTCTGACCAAATTCCACTAAAGAAAGAAGTTGTAAATAGCATGGGTGACCTTGGTCTTAACCTTAGGCCCCTGAAACACAATGATGTCCAAGTACACTCATAACTGACCTTTGTATAACGTTTGACCCCAAATCTATCAAATAATGGAGTTATTAGGTGCTTACATTGAATCAGGACAGGTTATGTGATGGGACACGATGCAATGGGCAGACATGGGCAATGCTATTTGCCCTCCCGTTTTATGGTGGGAGGCAAAAAAAGAAAACTTCAAACTACTATACAAAACAAAGCATGCTGTATGCAATGGAATCATTTACACAAGGCAGCAACCAGATGCAGTGATTTTGCAGATATTTCATTTGAATGTTGAACTTTTTTTCTGATGAATTCTATTACTGCTATGATAGAGGGCACAAAAGAATATACAGCCATGAAATCCAAGGTCTGTTACATCCCCATATCAAACATCACTGTGACATTGATAGAAGGTCTGTTACATCCCCATATCAAACATCACTGTGACATTGATCCGAGGTCTGTTTCATCCCCATATCAAACATCACTGTGACATTGATCCAAGGTCTGTTACATCCCCATATCAAACATCACTGTGACATTGATCCAAGGTCTGTTACAACCCAATATCAAACATCACTGTGACATTGATCCAAGGACTGTTACATCCCCATATCAAACATCACTGTGACATTGATCGAAGGTCTGTTACATTCCCATATCAAACATCACTGTGACATTGATCGAAGGTCTGTTACATTCTCATATCAAACATCACTGTGACATTGATCCAAGGTCTGTTACATCCCCATATCAAACATCACTGTGACATTGATCCAAGGTCTGTTACATCCCCATATCAAACATCACTGTGACATTGATCCAAGGTCTGTTACAACCCCATATCAAACATCACTGTGACATTGATCCAAGGTCTGTTACATCCCCATATCAAACACCACTGTGACATTGATCCAAGGTCTGTTACATTCTCATATCAAACACCACTGTGACATGAATATTTTTCTATAAATATTCACTAAACATGGATGGAATATTCACAGCTACCAGACAACAAACAACTCAACAGACAAATAGCAAATCTAAAATCATACATTTCACAAAACCAAAGAAAAGGTTTTTAAAAAAATCAAATGTAACATTCTACTTTCGATGTTGACATATTATAGAACATTATGGATGCATTTTACATTTAAACAAAATCAAAAAATAAAACGGCACCTTGCCCATTTTCCAGCGACCATGCACATGCTTTGCAACCTTTCTTGCTACCTTCTCTTCATTGGTCGTTTCCATGGCAACGTCTTCTTCTATAGCTTGAGGTTCATTCACATCACCGTCCCAGACGTAGGTGTACATGGAACCGTCACTAGGTTCCTCGTTGGGGTAAGATGTTGTCTCTGGCCAATAATCCACAGGCCGAATCTCCTGTTCTCCATTCATTGACGTAAAATTTGAGGAGGATGTGTTTTTGTCCTGTTCACGACGAGCAACAAGTTCTCGTAACTCTTTACGCACATGTGACTCCATATTAATTTGGGGAATACTGGTAGCTACTACTGGGGGGTACACAGTCTTTGGTTGTGGTAACAACTGACGATGGGATTCCCTTTGTCCTGTCACCTGCGCTGGGTGAAATCTCTTCCTTGCTTTAGCACGACCTCCTGAGGAAATTTTGGGAAATACTTCACTATGGGCAACAGTCATGGAAGAGTCATTTTTTAAATCTCCCTCCTCCGCTGTCACTGTTTCTGGTAACGTCTGTTGTAAGGGCAGGTCGGAAACTGTGTCCTGTGGATCTTCAGGTTCCTTTTTGACTTTGACTAGAGAAATTGGCATGTCCTGGCAATATGTTTGTGCTGCACCCTCCATTGACGGGTAGACAACTTCGCATGGACTAGCACCATTATACAAGCGCACGGCCGCAGCGTGGCTTGCGAACAGTCCTGGGTGGCTTACAATTGACGATACAATACTATTTGGCAAGTTTAGTGGCAGACTCAATGGTTGACTAGCAATGATATTTGGCAAGTTGTTAGACAATGCAGTGGTGAGACTATTTGGCAAGCTACTTGTCAGACTGTTTGACAAAGCATTGGTGAGAATATTTGGCAAGTTTTGTGGCAACACAGAAGCCGTGGTGATGGCTGCTGAATTTGGAAGATCTGTATTTGGAGATTGAATAATTGGAATTTGGGTAGGAGAGCCATCAGGGCTATTACTATTGGACATCTTTGGTGAAGGTGAACTTTTAACATCCATGGAGTCATCCAGACTAGCAAATTGTTCATGATCGCCGAGTACTTCAACGAACCAGAAATTCACGTAGCCAAGTCTCATAGTTAACTTGACTCGGTAACTGCACTTGTGACCTCGCATCTTTGTTTTTTCACACCCTGGAAAATACAAAACATTTCCCAATTAGAATATCTGTAATTCTAAACAAAACAATTACGCTTTTCATCACTCCCTATCAGATTTATTTCATTTCTTTGCCACAGATTTTTCTTTTTTTTTTTTTCATGCTGGAAAACACAAAATCTTTCCCTTTTAGAAACTGTTTATTTCCATCTAAAGGAAGTAATATATCAGCACCTACTATCGGTATATTTTACGGTATATTTAAACATGTCTTGTTATAAATAACTTCTATATATAGGAGCTTAGATTGTCAACCATAAAATCCTCCATGCTACACACTTACATAAACAACAATATATCTAGCCATATCCAATTAACAAAAAATCTGTCTTTGCTCATAAATTCATAATCCATATTATAAATTTCATACAAATTTCTTTAATTTTCCCAAAAGTCTCTTTATTAGGCATTGTCTGAAGTGCTGAATGTATATAACAGAATGAAATAAGTGCCTGGATATGTAGACACATTTACTTTGCGATGTAATAAAACGTGGACAGAAATGACTTGCCAGTGATGCTTGGGTGTTTTTACAGGGTGTAGTGACAAAGCAGTGATTAATTGCGTGTCGTTCCTAAGACTACGCCACAAGATAGACGATGAAAAATACAGAAGCTACGCATCACATAACATGGCCAGTAAGGTTGTTTAATGTACCTATATCCTTGTAAGAAATCCAGGTAGACGCCTTGCTAACGAAGTCGTACAACTGGATATTTCCACTGACTAGTTTCCTGTTTTGTAATGCAAACTTAATTTGCGGGACTAAACCTAATACCACAATAAAAGACGCAGATCAATTTATTGTCATTATTTTCCTCAAATAGTATTACCTTCATGTATGTTAAGGAACAATTAAGAATAGGTGTTATGACGTCCTATTTGACATTCTACACGCTGGCATGTCATCAGTAAAGCTGACAGGACTGAATCTCTATCAAGTGCTTACATCTTCTACAACAAGATTCACTGGAGAGTTACAAGAGAGAAGAGGGGGAGGGGAGGGGGGAATTTCTTTTATTTGTGTGTCATTATTAACAGAATATACAGGTAATTCCAAGTGTGATATCATGTCTTACTTAACTTACTAGCTCCCAATTTAACCAATATATAATTTATCTAACAAGCTTTCTTCTAATTAGCTCATGACAGTATTCCTCTAACTAGCTCCCACCAAAAATACACTAACTATCACTAACCAGTATCCATCTCCAAAAATACACTAACTATCACTAACCAGTATCCATCTAACTAGCACTAACCAGTGGTCCTCTAACCAGTATTCCTCTAACTAGCACTAACCAGTATCTGTTTAACTAGCACTAACCAGTGGTCCTCTAACCAGTATTCCTCTAACTAGCACTAACCAGTGGTCCTCTAACCAGTATTCATCTAACTAGCACTAACCAGTGGTCCTCTAAGCAGTTTTCCTTGCCAGTGTCACCCAATCTTGTCAGAGCAGATTGACTCTTTATAGAAACCAACAGCGTCACCTTAATACATTGCCTAGAGAACCTTTCTTCATAGAAACCAAATTCTATTTCCCAAATCTTCACAAAAACAGTCCAATCTTTTCACAATCTTAAAAATATTTTTTGTTATTTTGATGTTCTTTGCTTTTATCTTTATAACTTAGGACCCTCACCTTGCATACACTCTCCATATCCTCCACATCCTCGTTTACATGCCCCGGAACCACTACAATATAAAGTTTCTCTGGCTACAACAATCTGTTTGGCATTCTTTGCACGTCCAGCTCGAATTGTCCCGTTCTGAAGCACCATTCGTCCGAATTCAGTGAGTGTAAACTGGTCATCAAGAAATGTTTTTCCTTTCATGACTTCGACATATATTTTATGTACTTCACGTCCTTTTCGGAGCATATTGGCCCGCTCGAAGGTAGAGATACCAGAAAGATAGCTCCAGAGTTTGGCGCACTCGACCAACACTCCCTTCCATGGTGGGCGAGGCTCGTCTGGGGGCAGCTTATCCTGTTTATATAACATAACTAGGTTTTAGTAGGGACAAGCAAGGCAGGTAAGGATTTAGAAGCAGAAATGGTTGGGATATATTTCAAATTTTATTGCAATTAAAACGATATATTTGCCTTTTACAGTAGAACTGTTAACTGTTGAGGATTTTTTCCTTATTATAAATATCAAAATTTACTTAAATACTTCTTTTTCACAAAATATTTGTACATTTTAAAAATTTGAATGCATGAATGTTTGCAATAAATTTTGAAATACCTATCACATACACATGCTTTTCCTTTCTCTCTATAAATAACGTACATGATATAAAATCATTTTATATCATTAATTAACCAATATATCAGACTGTATGACACACTTAAAATATATAAATATGATAATGTCTTGTTTTTCTTGTTTTAAAGTTACTTCAGAAACAAAACTTATTCAGGAAGTTCCTGAACAAAGACAGACAGAAATACCTAAACAGCTTAATACTGTAACTTTATTTTTGCCAAAGAAACGTTTCTCCATTTATGTATAAATCTATTACTTGTGGATGTCATTACAGTAATAACAACAATGTTTATTAACCATCACCGGTAACAGAGAGAAGAAGAATTCAAACTTACAAGAATTTCTTTTTGTGGCTGCTTAAATAAATTCTGAAAGAGAGTGATGGAAAAACACAAAGATCAAAAGTCTATTTCCAATACTGCCATCCCTGTCAAACTTAATGCAGAGATCCAACCATAAAAGTTGGTAGAAGTTCCATGAGTAAGGGGTTGTAGGATGATTAAATTTCTAACTTTTGCATAAACATTATCATGCAAAATGCTTAAACTATAGATAATACTCATAATGCAGCCAGAATCGAGTCATGCAAGCAAGTCTTATGTTAATATTGCTGAAAGGACTAGAGGATCAAAAACACTATCTACTATCACAGTATATGCAATTCACACTAGTGTTAATTTTCTTTTCTATCAGCTTGCAATATATAATTTGGAATAGAAATTCTAAATATCTAATAATCCTTGGCCAATATACAAATATATATAATTTCTCTGTGAAGCAGCTGGATATAGAGGATTTCTTCTGAAAAGCGATTTAATCTTCATTTACAATACTGCAATGTCTGTCTTCTACAATAGCACGAATCTTGAATAAATTACATTAACTAAATCAATATGGCTGACTTTCTGTCGAAATTTTTTCAAACAGTCAACAATAACAAGCACAACATTATGTAGTTTTACGTTTTTTGAAGACATATTTAATTAACTTATACTTATTTCATCAATCTCAAGTTTATAATTGATATAGACATTTTACAGAAAATATTTTGAGAAGAAAAAAAGTAGTTAATGACAGTGCATCTGATGACAAATGATATGATAATTAAGAATAACGAAAATGAAATTCTAAATTGAACGTACAACATATCAATTCCAAGACAACATATCACCATGCACCAACCAATTGCCGCCCTTCACCTCTGATTCACCTTTCACCACCGCTCTTCAAGATTCCGTGACCCTTGACGTGCGTGTCAATCCGAATATCGTGTAGCAACCGACGGGGTGGGATGGGCATCATATGTATGTATGCCCCAAGCGGAATGGCTATAGAAAATGCCAAACACCAGACTATATATGGTATTCATGCAGCGTGTGTTAACACTAGGGGAGAGAACTCCATTCCACAAACATAACAGGAAAAAGACCTAAATATAACAATAAAAAGATAGTCAACATCATAACAAAAATCGTAAGTAATTCTACAAGTAACTTCTTCAACGTCTGAAATTAAATTAGATCTCGGGATTTAATATTACATCTTTTTTCTCAAATACTGGACCAAACCTGGTTGACTTCAGTATTCGTCGAATAGTGGTGATGTTTACCAAATATCAGCTGATATAGGTAGCCATTTTATGAGAGATTACAGTTAAGTGAGTTTACTTATCAACCTAATAGTTTGCTATTGTTTCATTCTTACCTATAATAAGTAAGAATAAAAAAAACAAACTAAGAAAACAACTTTTTGGCCTATCAATTCAAAATGTCCTATTATTCATTTTCCCATATTTAAAACATGTATTCCTAGCTCTAAGTCTGGTCATGGTCAGCCCGGAAACGAGGCTTTAAAATAAATAACAACCTCGTCTGAATGGTTATATCATAATGATCTAACATAAATCTATTTTATATACAGGTTTGATTATTAAAACTCTTCCTAATAAATTAAATTGTCATTTCGAATACAGCCATAAAGAGATATATATATAAGGACCTTGGGATTGAGTGACAACACACAGTTATAGCCGCCAGAAACATGGTTATGGACCCTAGAAACACGGTTACGGACCCACATACCCCAGAAACATTGTTACGGACCCCAGAAACACTGCTACAGACCTCAGAAACATTGTTACAGACCCCAGAAACACTATTACAGACCCCAGAAACACTGCTACAGACCTAAGAAAAATTGTTACAGACCCCAGAAACACTGTTACAGACCCCAGTTACAGACCCCAGAAACACTATTACAGACCCCAGAAACACTGTTATAGACCCCAGAAACACTGTAACAGACCCCAGAAACATTGTTACTGACCCCAGAAACACTATTACAGACCCCAGAAACACTGTTATAGACCCCAGAAACATTGTTATAGACCCCAGAAACATTGTTACTGACCCCAGAAACACTTACGGACCCCACAAACACTGTTACAGACCCCAGAAACATTGTTATGGACCCCAGAAACATTGTTATAGACCCCAGAAACATTGTTACTGACCCCAGAAACACTATTACAGACCCCAGAAACACTGTTACAGACCCCAGAAACAATGTTATAGACCCCAGAAACACTGTTACGGACCCCAGAAACAATGTTATAGACCCCAGAAACATTGTTACGGACCCCAGAAACACTGTTACAGACCCCACAAACACTGTTTCAGACCCCACAAACACTGTAACGGATGCCAGAAACACTGTCACAGACCCCAGAAACACTGTTATGGACCCCAGAAACACTGTAACAGATCCCAGAAACATTGTTACAGACCCCAGAAACACTGTTACAGACCCCACAAACACTGTTTCAGACACCAGAAACACTGTAACAGATCCCAGAAACATTGTTACGGACCCCAGAAACACTGTTACAGACCCCACAAACACTGTTTCAGACGCCAGAAACACTGTTACGGACCCCAGAAACACGGTAACAGATCCCAGAAACACTGTTACAGACCCCAGAAACACTATTACAGACCCCAGAAACACTGTTACAGACTCCAGAAACACTGTTACGGACCCCACAAACACTGTTTCAGACCCCAGAAACACTGTTATGGACCCCACAAACACTGTTATAGACCCCAGAAACACTGTTTCAGACCCCAGAAACACTGTTATGGACCCCACAAACACTGTTATAGACCCCAGAAACATTGTTACGGACCCCAGAAACATTGTTACGGACCCCAGAAACACTGTTACGGACCCCAGAAACACTGTTACAGACCCCAGAAACATTGTTACAGACCCCAGAAACACTATTACAGACCCCAGAAACACTGTTACAGACTCCAGAAACACTGTTATGGACCCCACAAACACTGTTTCAGACCCCAGAAACACTGTTATGGACCCTTAGAAACACTGTTATAGACCCCAGAAATATTGTTACGGACCCCAGAAACACTGTTATGGACCCCAGAAACACTGTAACAGACCCCAGAAACATTGTTACGGACCCCAGAAACACTGTTACGGACCCCAGAAACCCTGTTACAGACCCTACAAACACTGTTACAGACCCCAGAAACACTGTTATAGACCCCAGAAACACTGTTACAGACCCCAGAAACACTGTTATAGACCCCAGAAACATTGTTACAGACCCCAGAAACACTGTTACAGACCCCTTTATCTGTTATCTGCTGTTGTAGTTACTATACATTTCAGCAACAACACTTACTACCAATAGCCTACTCACAGTATATCATACTCCATGTATTTTACTCTTTAATCCTATAATCTCTGCCTATCTTCAGATACAAATAAACTGAACACAAAATTAGCTTATCAGACTTCAGTTTTTATTTTTAAAATTATTTTTGCATCACGATAAAGAGCTGAAAATAATTTATTTCTAAATGCCTGACTTTTGTGAGATGTAATCATAAAAAAATTCAGGTAAAAATAAATCTGTAATGGTAGCATGACATCATACTTCAGTAGATGTTATTTCATTTTCAGATTTTAAATGTCATGTGAATGACTAAATACTCTTTATTTCAATATTTACATTTACATTGTATTGTATCATGGTTTAAACATGGCCGAGTGTAGAATTGTTTAAAACAAAGCTCAGGTACAGCATGCATACTTGGTAAAACAACCTGTTAAATACATATCATACAGAACAATGCTCAACCATGCATGACAAATACAGGGAAATGACTCCAATCACATGTTCACTCATGCATAAAAATTATCTTCATCAGAATGAGAAACAAGAACAGAGGATCAGATTTGGTATGCAAATGTCCCCAGATGAAATTTTAATTTCTGTTGGGTATTACTGTCAGAACTATATATCTTCTGGTCGACCAGTCATTAAACCAAAAAACACATTGTTTTCTTAACTGGAGATATGCTGGATAATTTAAATGGTATCTGCCTGCATGCCCACTCCACCCTTGTATAGGTTACACTCTCCTACTTCAGGTTAAATTCTTGATGTAGAATTTCTGCCTCCCTATCCCTCCCGTCTCTGTCCTTAATCACACCATACACAAATATGTATACTTAACTTGTATGCTTCATCTGTAATACTACAGTATGGGTTACTGTTCACATAAAATCACATATATTCATTGCACTAAAAGTTTATGGTTTTACACAGATTTGTATTTAATTTGGCACTTGATTTCTTTTTTAAAACTTACACCCGAAATCCACTAGTACTAAAATTTGTGTCAACATGTGTCTATATATTTCCTGAACATATGAAGTTGTAGACAGCAACCATTAATTCAACAGAAATAAAACCTACCCCCATGAAACTTTATAAAGTTTATAGATTTAATTTAATTTTAGTTCTTGTGATCACGAAGTGTTTCTAATTTTTATTACGACAATATTTTATTCAATATCTATTTCCTCCTTTCATACAAACCACTAAGTGTCTCTGTTAACTTTTGATATTGAGTGTTGTTATTTTGAAATTGAAGTATAATAGTTGGGAAGGAAACAACTACTTAGAACCTTTTATATATCTCTACACAGTGTAAATAATCTACCAACCTGAATCAGAAAAATCAGTAACAGATTAGTGTATCACGATAGTTCTGATATCTATGTACATCCCAAAACAAATTGATAAAGTCAGAATAATGTTGAAAATACACAGAATTGAAGCTAAATTCTAAATCTTCGTGAAATCAAAATTAGAGAAAAATTCATTACGATACTTCAACAAACCTTTAACGATAACCTCAAAGTCAAAAGGTTCCTCAACTTTCACTATCCAAATGATAGGATTTACTTGAACTATGACCCCACAGACTTAAAGATCTTACTATTTAATATATTTATTGAAGTATGTCAATAACTTGAACTATGACCCCATGTAGATTTT